TATATTTCAGATTTTACGTATGTAAGAAAATGCTATATTGTTTTAATACTGACAGTAGAGTAAAAATCTATTCAATATTCACCTTTCAGGAAGCACAATCAAATATCCAAGAACACTATTAGACTTGCCTAGCATAAAGTTTCAAACTGCTAATGGGTTTTAAATCGATGTCATAATGCTGCAATTTAAAGACATGATGTTCATTAATTTTGCCAGAACTCTTTGTAGAGTGGGAGTGGTACGAAAGAAGGAAGGTTATATTTTCTGTACCTGCTTCTTTTTGTCTGCTTGCCCATTTTTGATACACAAGAAAAAACATTACATCAGCTTGGTTTACTCAAAAGACAGTAGAACTTCAATTAGGTAACCACTGTAGAATTGTATCATAGTAATATTTTCTCAGAAAAAATACCAGGAATAGGATAAAAGTAACTAACACATGATAGACGTGACATTTTTTAAAGATTAATTTCATGGGACTTATCACCAAAAATCCACAAGTGCAAAGTGGAGGAAATAAGGGACAGAAAGGTCAGCTTGCCCATACACCTCCTTTTCAGTGAAAGGTCAAAACACATGTCCTTGAGAAAGACAGCAAAACAGGCAGGCATCGTCTCTTGCAAATCTAAGGGAGTCCCCTCAAATGTGAGCACTGAAAAAGAGGCCACATCATGGAGGACTCCTAAGGGATCTTCTTCTCTTGAAGGGAGGGAGAGTGGGCATTGGATACAAATTTTGTAGGTGAAGAATCATCTATTTCAGAAATATCTCAAAAGTCAACTAAAATGTGTCTAGACATAATGAGCCAGTATAGTACAACACTTCACATCTATTTATATTTCAAATATAGTATGTTTACTGTACATAAAGTCATTTTTTCCAAAATTGTTGCTATAGCTACAAATCAAGGAAACCATAGCAACAACCCTGTATTATGTACAGCATTAATTAGAGATTAAGTTATGTCTCTCTTTGCATTTTATATTAAATACTCCCATACAATCCAGTTACAGTATTTTTTTTCAGACTTTTTAATAATAAAAATTCCATAGTATTATACGCCCTTTAAATATATCTTTATGGCATTATTCTGATCATACCTAATAATACACGTCACTGTTTTTTACATGAGCTAAACACAAATTTTCATATCACCGTATTTCCTGGTCTTCTTTAATACAAATCATTGATCTCTTCAGACTTAACCACCAAGTAACTGATTTTCCATCAACTCATAAGGCTTTCAAGTCTCATCCCACTCAGCCTTACCCCAGAAGAATCCTCCTAACTTCAAATTTTTCATATGGATTAAAGTCTTGGGTTTTTTTTCCTTTTCCTCAGAAAGTAAATATGCAAGGGAGGGACAAGAAAGATAGAATAGTAGTTCATCTAGATTTTCTGACGTGACAGGGAGGCTAGATGACTGACTGAGTTGGTGGTAAACTACTCCACTTGATTTTGTTGACCTTTGAAGTGCTAAGGCTTGGACAATAGGCCCAAGCCAGAGTTGACCTATAGATGAATCCTGTATATTTCATAACTGGTAACAATTATGCCAACTGGTATTATACGAAGTTATAATAAACCACCTATCCTGATGTAAAAGGTGGGAGTGTTGAAGCCTGAGCAACAGGCCCTGAGCTGAAACTGTTAACCCGGAATGTAATCCTTAATGAAATACGCATGGAGGATGTAGCTACCCTGACTGTATCCTTCCCTTCCTTTGTATGCAAATAGAATAACAGAGTCATGGAGGCTGGTGCTTGCCTAAGTGACCTGATGTGATGTAGCTCCTTTGAATGCATCTTTCCCCTCCTTTGTATGTGAACAGAATAACAGAATCGTGGAAGCAGGTGTCTGTCCCCAACACTTGATGTGAGACCTTGCACATAATTCCATCAGATAAGCAGAGAAACTCCTTTGGCTTCTCCCTTGAGCCCTGGATAGGCTCTGGGGGGAACCTAATGTGAGACTGAAACCAGGTATTTCCGCTTAAAACAAAGGTGCCAGCTCTTCTGCCTTGCTGATTTTTGGGTATATAAGGCTGGGCCCGCTCACAGCGACTTTGGCAGCCTCACCTATGGGTGGAGGCACCGCGCAGGATTTCCCACTTGCAGGGAAAGATTCTCCAAACCCTCGCTGTAATCGGGGCTCCCCAGCGACTGCGGGTCTGGATGATGGTAAAGTATGCAAGTGGTGATGGATTTTTCTTAACCACTACTCTTTTTCTCAGGTAGTAATGATTTGACGCATTACACGGTATTTTCCTATTTTTATGCCCGTTGTTCTGTCCTTTCTTACTGTGTTTTTTGTATTGTTCTGTTACATTATTTAGTTATTTTAAGTAAAATACGCCCACTCTCTTCACTCTGGTGTCTGAGTTTAATTGGTATCCCTGATCAGCAAAACAACCTTGTATATGTACTGTTTAAGTACACTAAGAATTTGGGATTAGAGCACCCTGGCATACTGCAAGTAGCCAGGCCTCAGAGTGGAGCCTGAGAGGAACAGGTAAAGGAGAACAGAGAACAAATGTGAAGAAAAGAAGGAGAAGCATGCTGGAAGTGGATGAGGAACAGGAAAGAGTGCTATCAGACAGCAGGAGACATGTAGGACACAGTGGGGTGACAGGCTTCAAAGGACACTCTAGAAGACTATGAATACATTCAACAGGTGTGCAAAGATTCTCTCAACAAAAGAGCAAAGAGAAAGCCAAAATTTTTGTCTTAAAAGCCTTCTAACCTATCTTCCGTTCCATCACATAATTTTCTGGTAATTCATTATGGTATAGTTTCATCACCTTTTGGTCCTTGCCCATTGATGAGATGGCATGTGTCCCATTTTACAAAAACTTTGGCCACATTTGTTAATGGTATTAACTGCACTCACAGACTGGACCTTCTACTGATCTTACATACCATAGCAGCTTAAAAAACTAGAAAATAATATCTTGATTCTATGAAATGAGCATAAATTCAATGTATTTGGCACTTAGACAGAAATGAGAGATCTGTAATTTTAATCTCTATGAACAATTGAGAATTGCTGGCCATTTTAATACAAATAGTACACAAACGCTTTTTTTATAAAGCAATCCATGTCATAAAAATTGTAGTGTGAGAAAGCTGTTAAGTGAGAGTTAGGAAAATGAGCTGTGTAAAAGCTTTTCACATGGGCAGCACAATAAAATTTCCTTCACGCAGGGAATAATTAAGTCAGAAGATAGTGCGTTCACAATTAGCAAGGCATGTTCAGTTTCTTCATTATCATTTTAATTAGCAAATATTAATGTAATCTGCAAATACAAGGGGGAAAACAATTAAAATTACTAAGTTTAAGAAGTCCTTCATGACCTAAGCTAAATTAAGACAAACGTCTTACTAATCGATACTGGTCACCAACTTTCGGGACATTCATTTCCATTTATTGTTAGAACTTCCAAGTGTGTTACCAAATTTAAGAATGAATTAAGGCTCCCACAAGCTACATCTAACCCCTGATGAAAGCAATGGTGAATAAAAATAGATTAGCATGCTCCTCTCCTCTCCAGTTATCAGTTCAGACTGATAGTGATCAAGTGACCGTGGCAGGTCTACCTCATTCAGATTCCATGCCTGCCACTGTGGCAATAACTCAGGGACATGCAGAACACACTGCCCTCTCATTTTTAGTGGGTTCCTTGTCCTTTTGTATTTAAGATATGCTGGATGGAGCTTTAGCCCTTTTGAATTCAACAGCAGCTCCCATTCATTTTACTGGGGCTGGGATTCACACCCTGACTCCAACAGATTCCTTTTCAGGTGTTTGTCCTTTTTCTGCTCTGTAGACAATGTACTTTGGACTCCAATATACTCAGTGCTGCATTGTACATGGACAATAATTAAAAGCTACAGAATTTTAAAGGAAGCTGCCTCCTAAAAACTATAACCCTGTCTCCTGATTTTCATATTTAACACACTAAAGATAAAATAATAACTAACTTTTCCAATACACCTATAGGACTGAATATCATGAAGTGCTAAAGTATTTTCATTCTCTGTAAAAACCATTATGTGAAAGAATTTCATTAATAAACTAATTGCAATTTTATAAAGAAAAAAAAAAAAAAAAGTAGCAGGAAGCATAAGCCTGACAGCATTTCTCATGACTGACAGTGCTGCAACTGCTCAGAAACAACTTTTAGAATGAGTTAATTTTTTAATGTTAGTTTATTTTTTTTATGTTAGCTTATTTTGCAATTTTCTACTATACAAACGGGAGAGAGGAAGAGGGAGGGAGAGGGAGGGAGAGGGGTGGGTAAGAGTCTGAGGAAAAAGCACCACTACCACCAAAACCCAACAGTGTCATTAGATATTTTACAAACTGCAACAGTTTAAAGCCCCTGCAAAATGTAATTTTATCACACAGCAAGTACTTTGCAAAGCAGATAAAGGACAAAGCATTTTAAAATACAGGCTGGAAATACATACCTGGCTTTCCAATAGCTACCAAGTGTTAATGTGATAGTTTCAGAAAAATCTAGGAAACCTCTAGCTATACAAGTTTCCTACACTCACATATATTCATTTTGCAAATCATTCCTTTTTCCTCTTCCATGCACATACAAATAAACTACTTCTTCCTTGGGTATCACAGGCAGTATTAAACTGTTTTAGGACTTTAGTACAAGCACACAGAAGAAAATTTCCCTTTGAGTTAAAGGGACCAGAGGCTTGAAATTAATCTGAAAATTTTTCTTGCTTGTATAAATATTGGTTTTCACCACAACCAAGCATGATTTTGAGGCCAACCCACTGCTCTCCCCAAATGTCTCTCCAGACATGACATAAATTTTAAAAATTCAATGTTCATTTAAATGGTAACACACTTTTTAAAAAGGCACTTTGCTCAGAAACACTGCTTGCTTTAGTTTTGACGCTATCAGGTTCATTGAAAAGCAATTATGTGGGATCAGAGAAGAAAGTCTACTGTTTTGCTGTGCTCTTGATACCAGGTCTTACCTCTTGTGTTTTCACATTTATATATCCATAATGAGTTCTCAGAGGCTGCCTTTGCCCATTAGAAAATGGTATCCATTTGACACTGGTTTGTCCAAAGCAGTTTAGGATCAAAGGGAAAGTTACTTCATTTGTGAGACGAATGATGATAAGACAGAGGAATCCTGCAATGAAACTCACAGCAACAATGGACTTTCTCTGTAATGAAAAGAAAGAAAATAAATACATTATTAAAATTCAGAATTGGTTTTAATAGAAAATACATATCTTCTGTAGGATGAAGGAAAAACACTTTAGAAAGCTTTATGTGAAATTATGTTTATGGTAGTCATCTTGCTGATCTTGCAGGAGCACAAGGAGACAGGTGACTGGATCGTTTTGTTTTGATAGGTTTTTATTTCAGAGATTTGAGAGTTTCCTTTAGAACTGGTTGGAAATTAATCAGTTTTGCTCAAAAGAAAAATCGGATCTTTTTTTGAGTTTCAAAAAACATCCATTGGTTTTACATTTTATTTGTATTTGCAATAAAGATTTTATGTAAACATGCACACCAAAGTCTCCATTCAAAATCATCACTGTTCTAGACACATGACAAATACACAAAGTGACAATGCCATCTGAGGCCATGCCACACCAAGTTTATTGTGAAGATGATCACTACAGACTGTATTTATTGTGCTTTAATTTTAAGTCATTCCTGTGCAACAGAACTCACACTCTAACCTTAAATATTTTAGAATAAATTGGTGAAGTCAGCACAACATTATGCGTTATTCCAGGTTCATTAATTTACACTTTGTAAATTATTATTATTATTATTATCTCAGACAAGGTGACCTCCGTTGTTAATAATGCAACAGATCTGAAGCCTGTATTTAATTAGCCTTTGCTTTCCACCTCTAACCTATCTGTTTGGATGGGTGAATGTAAGCACAGAAAGATACCAACTTTTTCTCTGGCTAACTCCCCAATCTGAAGGAGAAAAACTTACAAAAAATATGATGCTCCCCTAATTTTTAGCTATCTGTTAAATACTGCAGTCAATGACTTCTAGACAAGTTACTTAAAGACAAAATATGTTAGTCTGCATATGTAAAGATGCTAGGTATGATACTCTATTGTAAAGGTTATATTTAAATTTTCCCAGAGGGAATGGAACAGTGATCATTTACACGTGTTTATACAGTACTTTAATTACATTCTAGCTTTACCTGATTTGCCACAGTTTAATCACCCTATTGAATGTAATTCTATCCCTCTAAACAGTAATATATACAGAAAATAGAGGTGAAAATACTATTTGCCTAAGGGTAACAATGCTGGATGACAGAATCTGATCACCCCAATTCCCACCTACAAATACCACCAACTGACAGGAACCAGCAGAGTACACATTTAAGACCACTTTTGTACATGATGGCAATAAGGTCACACGTGCTGCAATAGTGATGGAGGAGTGAAAGGCAAGCTGTGATTGCAACCATATAAGATGAATGTGTTCTTTGCCTAAAGGTTTAGTCAGCGGAAACTAAAATTCAAGATGTTGAGCAGAAGAAACAACAACATTTACACAGTAGACGTACTGGGAAACACATAGTTTTACTGAACGTGAGCACAGAAGGCCTACGTGCCCATGCACAAGGCCTGTAGGCACTGCTGAGATGCTTTGGTACAGTGTCTGAACACAGAAAACAGAGAGAATCACAAAGACCAGACAGCAAATATGAAGGGATATTACTGCATTCACACACACAAGTGTTAACAAAATGGTACGTTATGCACGGTTCCATCTGTTTTGATGTATTAGGAGGCTGCAATTTCTCAGATAAAAGCAGCAAAAGACCAAGATGGAAAATGTAGGTGAATGAGGTCACTGTGAGGAGAAAGGGAAGAGGATGATGAAGAAGAAAAGCACTGTGGCAATGTGACTCGGTGAGGAATCTTCATCAGCTAATGGCTGTGCAATGTGAAATTAAACCCAGCAAATCAGAGGGCAACACAGCCACCAAAACCCAATCACAGCTTTCAGAATTCAAGGAAGCCACTGCACTTTTCATCAGCTGCATTATAACAGATTTACATAAAATTGCAATAAACTGGCTGGGGAGCACTTCTGCGTCACTTCTCTTTGTACCAGATGGAGTCAGAAATGTTTAGCTACATATTAGGCTCCTTTTAAGTGGTAAGAGCAGTCAAGATGTGCAGTGCAAGTGATAATCATAAAGTAATGAGAAGGAGTGTGGATTAGTCATACTATTTATTGCAAACCAGAATTAAAATATTGCAAATATTTGGAGGGGAATCTAGAGTCTCATTCTACTACATAAGCATCCTTCAATCAAAATGTCCACAGCAGGAAGCAGCAGTACAGCCCTGTATGATGCTCCTACCTGATTTCCACATCTTCCCAGTTTGTCGAATACCATTTTTTACTTCCTTTATTTTGTGCAGATATGTTCTAAATTTGAAAACATTGCAGTCACTTGTGTGTGCTTCTCACAGAGAGCCTCCACCCTGAGAAGAATTCAGATTGTGCAGCTAGATTTCTTGGCCTTCCTTATGATGCCACTTGACTGTTATATTCATTCTCTTTAAATACATCATACTACAGGAGGAAAGAAAAAAGTGTGGCCGCCTTTTGTTTTCTTATGTAAGAAAATATTGTTTGAAAAAGAAAACAGCAAAAATTTTCCTGTGTCTGTTGCTTAGCCAGAAAGAACCTGCACTAACTAGAATAATACAATGAGAGAAAGGAATTGTTACAACAGAAAGGAATTAAGGCATCTGTTATAATCATTTTGAAAAAAAAAACCACAATAGACATATGTAAACACAATGTCCACTTATCAACTTGTACAAAGGAAGCTTGTCTTAAGGATTCAGTTCTCCTGTAATTTTTGTTAAAGGCATGAGATCCAACAATATGTATTGTTTGAGAGAAAGACTATTGCAAACTGTCATTTCAGTGGCTGTACAAATTTCACTGTAAAAATATTGAACAACAACAAAGCACCTACTTGTTCTAATTTTAGGCTTCTTAAGCATCAAGTAAGGCAGTCTGCTCAGTGGCCAAGAGTATTCTAAAGGGCACCTCTAAAAGTAATTTATTCCCCTTAAGTTCCTCCCTCCTTTACCTGCTGAAGAAAAAAAATAAATGCAGGCGCTATTTCTCAGTAAGTGCGTCTTGTAAAATCTCCCGTTTCTGCAGATAAATGGATTTTGTTATCTTTCCTCTGATAAAACTTAAAATTTAGCATTGGAGACTCCAGGAATTGTACATGACATTAAGATATGACAGAGAAGTATGAAACTATATACAGGGATGAATATCAGACTCTAATTTGTCTGCATCAACATTTTAAATACTTACACATCCTACCATTTGGGAGAGCTAAACCAATGTGAATTAGCTAGTCTGCACAGAAAAAAATCTTATGCCTTAGTTTTCAGTTCTCATGACTGCAATTAGTTTCTTAACAAAAGAAATGTTTCTCTAACATGGAAACATTTCCTGTATATATCTCAATCTTCATATTTTTCCAGCTAATTTAATGTAGATATTTTGATGTTGCCACCATTTAAATAAAAAAACTTATATTCAGTTATAAACATGCTTTATACATACTCAGTGAAGAGTAAACAATAAGACATATTTTAAGCAATTTCCTAGCTGGACGACTTTCATGGTGTATTAGCTTTTGTAACATTTTATTTCATTCACTGTAGTACATGACTAGTCTAGATGACAGTTGCAAGAAGAAAATTACCATACTTACAAATACAGGATCCTATAGCAGAAGATTGATAGAGTTTACTATTTGTTAATGACATGAAGTCTAAGAGCCTGCTCATTCATGGTTTAAAAAAGAAAAAAAAAAAAAAAAAAAGGGGAAAGAAAAGTGGACATGGTTCAGACCAGAGTACATGTACTGCAACAGCTGGGACCCCACCAGGAAGAAAGTGCACACTAGAACTGAACAGTTTCTTCTCAACTATTTTTACTCAATCTATCCAAAAATATAATCCCGGTATTGGTTTCAGTTATTTCTCAGACATCAGGTTCATTCTGTCTATTGCGTATATCAAAATCAATAAACGCTTCTAAAACTTCAATTTATATTAACATGGTTAAGAACTGAAATAAGAACAGGAGTGTCATACTACTATGCTGGTTGGGATTTCATTTAAAACTTCATGGATATAAAACAATAACAGTACTTTTATAGTGGTGTGTGCATATATATATATATATATATATATATATACACACACACATATATATTTGGCAACATGGTCTCTAACACTATTTATAAGCTTCACTATCACCAGGTTTTGGCTATTTTCCAGTGCCAGCATGATTCATTAGCGTCAGTTTGGCAAGAACTTGACAGTCTAAACAGGTTTTAGTCATCTTTCTTTCATAATGTGTTAAGAAGTTTGAGATGACAATACCATTTTTTAGAGTTCAATAATGCCTGATAGAATAATAAGACACAAACTCTTTTTGTGTTGTATGCAGTTGTCTAGCAGGGAGAAATAAATTTATTTTCAGCATAAGAATTTCATAAATTGTGAATATTACTGAGGCATGCACTAAGTATCTTTAGACTACTTTCTAACCCAAGAGCAACTGCCCACCACTTAGAATGTATAATATGGCACTAGCTATGAAACCGCTTTACAAGCAGTAATAAATCCCCATCCTAGTGAGCTTAACAGTAAAAACCCATTTCACAGATGCATAAACTGGGGCTGAAAGTGACTTCCCTAAGATCACAAAGAAATCAACAGAAGCTACTCCTAAATTTTTATTCTAGAACTCTGTTGGTTTCTCAGGTCTATTGTTTCTATTATAGCTAACTGCCTGAAGTTGAATATGATATTATGGAAGACTCTAGTAAAGAACCCTTGGATCCAGTGAAGTTCCATATTCCCAAACAGTAGTTGAAAATAAACATTTTCAGTAATTGATTTTTTACAGTATTCATTTTTTTTCATTATTTTCATGGATACGTGATAATACTGCACTTGGAAGGACAAATCAAAGGTAAAGACTTACGTGAGGGCTTTGAGTCTCTTAGATGACACAATACACAGTAATATTGTATTAGTTTCACAATGCCTACCTTTATGAGCATACTGAACAACTCAATCACTTTTCTGATATCTCTGTACATTATACTACTTTTATTATAGGA